CTCTTTCATAACAATATTTATGGTGTAACACTTAATCAATTCCAGACAATTCCAGGCCATATTTTTCACTAAGAGTTAACTTATTCAACAAATTAATATAATAGTTTGTGCCAATATTTTACATAACTGTCTTGTAAAGATAATTTCTTGTCCATTCCATTCCATTATTAAAGTTTATATATAAAAATACTGTTGGAAAACATATGGGGAACATACATACTAACATACAGTATATCAGTAAATCTGTAAATATCCAGTATATATTGTGATGCCACAGGTGGAGGGGCCTCCACTGGGGCATGAACAGGCACACTCCGGACATGCCCCTTTAGGTCTGCTGGCCAACGTTTTCTCTGCTAAGTGTGCACTCACTCTTTTAACACACACTTTCTAATCTTCATAAAATTTTAACACACACTTTTTTCCAACAGGGGTGCTGAACTCAGCCCCCTCACTGGGGCAACAGGTTGCATGGCTTACATAGTCAGAGACCTCTGGGCCCCCGGCTCTCGGACTCTCAGGCCAACTCCAACTCTCCAACTCACTTGTTCCATTCAACTTCGTCTGAGATTCGGGTTGAGGTCCTTCACCTTACCAAGTCCTTCATTCGCGGTTTCCTGGGCCCAACAAGCTTCACCTTCAACTCTGATGTCACTATTTCACTAGGAGCCTCCCTGTTCCCAGCCACCATAGCTGGAGCCTCCTGTTCCCTCACTCTTAAGCTGGAACCTTCTGCTCCCTTACTATTACACACTGCACCAGGGCTATGGGCTTCCACTCTGCCCTGTCAGCGCTTGGACTAACAAGGACCCCCCCACACATTCTCGCACTAACAACACCGAGTCTCTTCTTAGTACAACTTGAGACTCAACACACAACCTCTGATGTCTCACACTTACACCCTAGGCTGTGCCTTGCAGCTGCTGATGTACAATCTCTGTACTATTATCTGTGCCTCTCTGTCATACTGTGCAGCATTGGTGGCACCCTCATCTCATCTCCACTGCACGCTCACCACCCAGAGGTCTGCAGCTAGATGGATCATGCTCTCTCCCCCCATACACTGTCCCTCTTCTGCTCACATTCTGGCCCACTACCTCTTAAAGGCACTATGCCCGGGACGGCATGACAACATATTACTGTACATATCTGTTTGCTGTAGAGTTGTAACTTGATGAAGAGTTCGTATTCATACCCACAATTCAATGCAAATTGTATGCTTCATTACAACCCATAATTATTGCTGCTCTTCAGTAGCATTATAACCTTGAATGGTGCTCATATGAAAATAAATCTATACACACATTATGTTTTACAAAGTGCGGGGTAATACCGGCCAATTATTCATTTTGTTATATTTTTTTAATGTTTAGTTACCGAACCCATTCACTGCAATTACATACACACTTGCTCATGTCAGTTTCTGGTGGCGACAGGGGTGGATCTGTCTGTAATTTGCAGTGAATTTAAATTATTTTGTTTATTTTTTTCAGGAATAATTCTTGTTAACCATGGCAGATAAGAATAATGATAAGAAAACACTTGACAGTCCCCACATTTAGATACGAAGGTCACAATTACTGAATTTAATAAAAATATGTGAGCAACAGTAACATTGGCTGCTGTAAGCATAGTACCATTTTTAAAAAAGTTTTTTCAATGCTTATTTAGGTCTGCTACAGTCATACAGTATACAGTAGGTGTAAAATATTTTATTATTCTTTGTAATAAATCCACAGGATAAAAAATGGCCCTTGCTTTATGTACAAAACCATTTTACATCATGGTCCAGCAGCCTGTAACTCCTGTTCCCACTTTGGAGAAAATAAGTTCCATGGACATGTTCGTCTGATGTACCCACAAGCCATACAGTCTGTTATTTTACATGTTGAAAGCTCCATGTCACCATCCAGGAGAATGATCAACAAGTTGTAGGACTCACTGATGAACTGACCACCAAGTCACAGCTGGGTAGTGACATCAATCAGACTCAAAGTAGCAATGTCCAGGATATCAACCTTTTTTCTTCATGAGGTTTTTGTCATGAAGAAAATTGTGTTACAGCATTATAGATAATGTAAAGCTGCTATGAAAGATATCTTTCTCAAATAAGGTCAAATGCCTTCTGTATCCCAGGCCTTCTGGTTGGCAGAATGTTTATCCGGGGGTTTGGATCAAAATCACATCTCTATGCATTCTAATTTTACTCCAAAAGTTCGATACCTTTTTGGAAGCAATAGACACACTGAAAATGTATCCAGAAGTTTATGGGAAACTGTACTGCATTGCATTGAACTGAATGTATTGTGATCCACTGAGAAGAAAACATAGTTCACTAGAAATAGGAAGAACTGAACTCTACTTTATACGTATTATATAATTGTATATACACTGCACAGCTCACTAACATGGCATTTTGTTCCTTCTGAAAAAGAACAAAGCATGTGTGATCAAAGTAGTTCTGACTACTGACATATTTCATTTTTTTGTATTTTGTATTTTGATTTCCTCAGGCAATACTAATATTGTATGTCCAAGTTCCATTAACATTTTGCATTTGAGTCAGTGGTTTTTAATAATAAAACTTAAGGAATTGTCTTGTACAATTAAAATGATAGAAGATGAAATTTGTCTAATCTATTAGAATGCATAAGCAGGTATCAGATTTTCATCAGAAGAATTCTTGTCACATGCCTGTCGCTAGCAACCTTGCTGTGATAAGCACAACTAGTCCTCAGAGTGCGATGTATAGCACAGAGTAATGACAGACCAGTTTCAGAGCCACATAGTGGCCACATCTGTTCCTAAACGTGGCCAGCTAACCTGCCAAGACTATAATTTCCTCACAGGGAAAGAGACACTTAACAAGCATAGAGGAGTTTAGATTTCCAGATAACATTCAGAAACTGAAACGTTTTCATGCATAGTATTTGGTTATTTTTGATACATGTGGCCTAATTTAAAAAAAATACTTCAATATCCAGGTAAAGAACTAGGAGTTAATAATTATTAATAAGTAGTGTCTCAGCACCATTAAGTTTATAATGTACTTATAAACTAAAATAAATAATATTAATGTAAAACTTACCCAAATCTGCAAAACCGTGATGAAGTGATGATAAAGATAATGATTTTTGTACAGTACGATAGCTGATCAAGGCAATAATGAATAATGTACAGCATGATGAAAGGGTGTTAAAGCACTTCTGGAAGGGCTTCTTCATCTGGATCTAGTGGCAAGTGGTTTGGATCAAAGTCAAAGGAACCAGACCGTACATGAGTTAAGGTTGGCAGTGACTGCAAGGCTAGCAGTGAAGCTATTGAAGAGGGCGTAGTCTATGGTGGGGAAACCCATACAGTAATTCTGTCATAAAAGAGCATTGTAATAGTCAGCTTTTTTCCTGTTGTATTTCCTTATACATTTCTAGGTACAGGTGCAATGTGAGCGATCCTGAGACTCAGTTCCATTGAAGAATTGTATTCTGTAAACTTATCCATCATTACTTTTGCAAATTGAAGCACTTCATTAAACTTGTGAATGTCTCAACTATCTTGCTCTACATCCTCTTCATCCTCGGTTTAATCTTCTTTGGCTCTTCTCACAAGCTTGTCATGGTCCTCGTCTGTTAATTCATCTCAAATCCATTCAGCTGCTCTTTCTCCTAGCTTATGTTCATGTCAACAAAACCTTTACCACCCATGATTATTTATTGAAAATGTACTATATATTTTTTTAATCTTAGCCCAACTCAATCTCACTGACCTTCTTTCACGAATAATCAAATCTATGAAAGTCAAATACAGGAATGTTCAAACCTTACTGTACTAATTTTAATGATTAATATATATAATGTAATGAAAAATAGTTGTTAATCACAGATACTGTATATTTATCAAAGTTGTCTTATTGTTTATAATTAAAATGTTTTATACTGTATATAATGGAACATTATAAACCCATAGGAAACTACAGAAAATATGCATTAATAATAACAATAATTTTAATCAAAAGCAACTTGCATTCACCACTTAGAACTATAAAATAATATACATAGCAAAATGATCCACTTTTATGTAATATATTATAATAATCAAAACAACATAAATTATCAAGATGAATAATACAGTAATAATACCTGCAACTTTAATTTAACCATGTGTGGTCACTGTTGACCGTTTGCACCATGGCGAATCTCCTTCATTTGCAGTCAATGAATATATGGTCTGTCTGTTTGACAGTATCACCATCTGGGGACCTCCTTGTCATGCTAACATGACTGCAAGGGGTACTTACCAACATCCATTCCTGTATATGGGTTTTAGCCTGCCAAAGACAAGGGACCTCTGCTACTGTGATATCTTGTGAGGAATCACACTCCTTTCCAGCAAAACCTTCTTTAAAATTCTCTTCAAGTGCATTGATGACAGCTTTGATAACAAACTTACACCTGAGAGAGCAGCGTACCAAAAAGACAGAGGATGTATAAACCAGATGTGCTCTGCACCACAACACTTGCCTTGATATCACTGCTCTTTATGAACTTCCTTCAAAAAGGAAAGACTGATACTGAGCCTTGGTTCATCACACCGAAAATCTATGCACATGACAGAAAAGTAAAGAAAACCATACCTGTTAGGTTAGATGTCAATATCTGGAGGTGAAGTGGCTCCCATATAGGGAGCAGAAATTGGTCTCCCAGGTTTACAGAGGCTTAATATTAATAGAAGTCCAATGGTAGGTCATGTAAACACACAAAAAACATTTGTGCAGGAGTGAAATCACAAGTCACATACTGTGCTCCTTGACACCCCCAAATGGGGTAGCAGCAAGGACGCTTTCACACATTCAGTATGAGGGCACATTTTAAATTCAATCTGTTTATCAAGAGATTGAAGAAGTCAATTTATTGCTCAAGGGTTTCACATTCTACGTGTATCAGAGCTGAATCTCTGTCACTCAATGTTTTAAATCTGTTGAACCTGGTTTTTGTATTTTATAGGGTTTGTTGCTGAGAAAGGTGTGCACTTTGCTGAAGCTGTTGGACAAGCCTTGGAACCTAAGCTTGCAGTGTCACCAACACCAGGAGCAGAGCAGGTGGGGTACAGACCTTCTAAAGAAATAATATCTTCACTTTCATGTTCAAGCTATTTGATTTAATATTTTCCTCATGTTGTTGTACATATTTCTTGCTTAGATTATTTAGATGTAGCAATCACCGAACTACTCCAGAAAGAACCATTGCTTTACAGAGATTTCAAAGCAGAATGTGATGGAACAAGGAGGAAGGGTGACAAAACCAGTCTACAACTTGACTTCAATACTCCTCCAGTCACCATTAATACAAGAAAAACCAAAATGTTCCTAAGGAATGCATCTTAGTTAAGAAATGACCAGAACGTTGCCTGTGATGGTACCAGTATAAACAGCATTTCCATTTGTCAGCGAAGCACTGTTAAAGCATTGCCTTGTACTATACACAAACATATTTTAGTACTCTTTTTCTCAAGTGCTACAATAATATGTTTTTAGCTGATATAAAACTTTACCACGGATTAAATAACATGAACATAATGTACAGAAAATAACATTGATTTCTGTTGAGAAATATAAAAAAGTCTGAGTATAAACTATTGCAATATTACAACTCGACAGGCTCATATTATCCCCATAATGCTACATAAAATAGTTACCTACTGATCAAAATGGCTACTGATTTTAACATTCCTGTTTTATTAATTATAAAATAATATTCTGGAGTTCAATTAAACTCCATGAGAAATGTCGCCTGGTAATTTCTCAAAGTTAAGATTCTCCACATAGCCCAAATGCATCACTTCCACTAAAGAACGACATTTATAATTCTCTCAGTTAAACAAAACATGAATAAAAAGCCTAACTGTCATTGCAACATGATTTTATTATTATGAGGTGATTGAGATCTTTAATGTTACTGTAATTATCATAGAGCCTCCAAACTCTCACAACTGTTTGCATGATGACAGAATTTGATGGAAGTACTGTAGTTCTTTTTTTCCTATAGTTCTGGGTGTGCTGTGACTATGAGCAGCACCCGCTCAAAGAAAGAGAAGAAATGTCAGCAAATAAAAGTCCCTTCTGCATGCAAAAAGATCCATTTACTCCTGTGTTTCTACCACCAAAGTAGAAATAAAAATGAGCAGGCTTTATGCATTTTGACCTATGTTCTATGCAGAATTCTTGTTTACTATTATTATTTTCTGTGCAATACATTAGTTGAATTAGAGTTAAAGCGTTTTTATTCAGTTGTGCAGTACTTTGATAACTATGATTATGATTCAATGGATTTGTTTCCCAGGTACTATTTAACAATACTTTATATAAACTCATAGAGTTTCTCTGAGCCCATGCAGTATGTAATATGGTGTTTTTGAACATATCATTTTGCTTTAAGCAGCTGGTAGAATGTAACAGGGCAGCTTCTGGGAGTGTAGCTCAGGGAGTAGAATGATGGAAGGTAGTGTAGGAGCACTCCAGAGACTGAGAGAGGAATAAGTCAGGGTTCACATTTCTAATGAGAGTATTATAGAAATTGGCTTCAGCAGTCAGAGAGCTGATTTTGCACAATAAAAGAGACTAGCTCAGAGAGAAATGGATCTAATCTGATGGTTGGACTAGGTCAGTACATTTACATAGTGCAGCCTTGAGCAGTGTGCTATACTACTGTATATAGTTTCTAAGAACAAACTGGCAGGTTTTGACGATGGAATGACCAATACGATTAGCATACTGACACTGAGTATTGCGCTAGAAGTGCTACATAGGAATTTCTTACATTATATGAACATTATTTAGTCTTGCATTACTAGTTTGTTTGTTTGCAAAATCCCAGCTATTAAAGCACATAGACTGCTCCAACATTTCCAACATTTCCAGCTGGGAAATTACCAAGAAAATAACACCCCATTGGACTCTGGTTGTCCTTTAAAGTGGGAATGTACCAGCTACAAAATTGTGCAGGAGCATTTGGTTAGAGTACAAGCTCAGCCACCAAGCACCCTGTAAAAGCTTTTTTAGCACTTGAACTCTGAATCCCAGATCAAGGCTTATCAGCTACAGAGTGGCCTACTTTATGAGTCACTGCTTCTTCATTAAATGCTTCATTCCCTTTGGATGTGGAATTGTGAAAGTAAATTACATGCCAGCCTCCAACTATTAAAAAAATATTCTGGGGTTACATCAGGACAGGAGATATGAGGCAAGTTGAGGCTGAATTAGCTCAAGCTCTTGGGAGAGATGAGTGCAAGCTTGTTGAATAATTAAAATGACTGAATTTTAAATAGAGTATAAGGTACTTTGAATTTAAAATGACATTTCCACATATGATTGGCTGTTTGTGGTTCATGCACAGTGACAGTGTTTTTGTGATTGAGATTATCTGCAACAATTTCAGATGTTTGGGGAGACATGACAGCTAATTGCACTAACATGTATGGATGTTACTATACTTTGAAATACTTTGTCCATTTTTTAATTCAATTATTTGACTTGAAAGTGTAAATAAAATGCTTGAGTTTAGAATTGATTTAAGAATTTTCTCAAATTTACAAATGTTTTGAACGTGAAGAAAAAGTGAATATAGCAAGTCTAGCAAAAAGAAAAGAATGGTAGACTTACAGTACAAACCCAAAGCAACATTGAAATAATATATCCCATGGTTTGTAATTAATTTTAGTCTTTTTTTCACTGAAATGTGTTGTGATTCAATTGAAATAATCCTGGATATTTCTGTTTTTGATGCCTGGAATGCTAACAGCTACAGCATATAATAATCATGAAAAATAAAGTTTTAGACATGAATGTGTTGATATTATAATGAAAGTTTCACTGCCTCCTTTGGCTTAACTTTATACTGTATGTAAAAATATTTTAAATGTTTTCAACATTGAGAATTTATGTGAGAAGACATTTATACTGTAATCAATTAATGTTATTGGTGAAAGAGTTTTAAGAAGTTTGAGTTCAATGTTTTGTAAATAAGAAATCAGTCCTGATGCTATCTTACCCAGTAAACAAATTTATAAAAGATTCTTAATTCACCCCACTTATCAGTTAATAGTGAACAAGTTACCATGATGTCTTTATTCTTCTGTGAATTACATTGTGGTAGAAAAATAAACTTTGACACTTATATTATGCACTATCATAGACACAAAAAACATTCTTCTGTTTACAGCTGGAGAGTTCAATATTGAGCTTTCTCAGTTAAAATCACTGAGTCCTTAATCCTTAGTCACAGTAACACACTCTGAAATAGACGACACACAGTGGAACTTTGGGTTGTGTGGAAATAAATGGCACTAATTGGAAAAGACAATTCAAAGACTCTTTTACTAAAATAGGAATTTATATAAATGGTGTTCTACTGATTGGAGTTCTCTTGTATTTTCAACTCATAAAATGCCTTATACATACTGTATAAGGGAAGTGAAGCTTGTGTTCCTCCAAAACCTCAGAGCAGTAATTTCCTATGGTGTCTGTTTAAAAATCAGCAAATACAGTTTGTTCACTGGAATTTATAGACAAATATGAAAAGTGGAAGAAATGTTAGCCTTTGGAAATTCCAATTATTAATATCTCAAAATATTTGCAAAAGTGTAATTCGGGGCAGACTTTAAAAAAAAATCGACCTTGGACATATTAATATAGTATTAGTAATCCTGACATCAAAAAAAAAATATTTACTGTTATTTACAGTGTTGAGAAAAAGTAAGTTTCATTAGCTCAATTAAGAGAATGAATAGAATCAGGTGTTATTAAAATAATTAGGTGGATCCTGGTGACTGAGCTGAGAGGCCCTACTTGATATAAAGATCAGAAATGCTGTGAGTTTCTCATGCCACAATCTAAGCAAATATCTGAGGATCACAGAAAAAGACTTGCTCATCAGTCCAGAAAGGAATACAAAAGCACTTGGGTCTCCACCATCGGCTATCTGACAGTCTACAAATGGAGAAAGTTCAAGACCACAGTCAATCTAGTCATCCTACAAAAATCTCTCCAAAACATTAAATAAACAAAGAAGTTACAAAGAACCCCCAAGTAACATTCAAGGAACTGCAGGCCACTCTTGCCTTGGTTAATGTGATTGTATATGGCTCAACTATCAGAAAATGACTGAACAATAACAGTGTTCATGGAATATCAGCAAGGAGAAAACCACCGCTCTTCAAAACAAAAACACTACTGTTCATGTGAAGCTTGGCAAAAAGCACAAATAGCGGGCTCAAAGCAGAGTGCACCCTGGATGGGACACCAGTCCATCGCTGTCCATGTTAAAAATACTTAGCAAAGTAGGCAAAGGCTACAGTATTTAGCCAGGAACTCAAATAATTAAAATCATTCCCAAAAATAACTTGTATGGCCTTACTGTGCAAAGTTTCCATCTTAGTGTGGGAGCATTTGTAATGATTACAAATGTGTGCAAGCAAATACTTGAAAATACAGTATACAGAACAGCATTGTTGATTTAAATTAATATAGTGCCTTGTTAAAGCACTTCTGTCTCGCTTCACCTTTTACACACTTTCCAATCTGTGATAAATATTCCAGCATAAGGGAGTTCAAAGACTTTCAAATAAACTTTGCTAAAATGTTATATGATTCTAGCAATTGAAAATGAGATGGATAAACTAACTCTGTTTTGTTTGATTTAACCCTTTGTGAGTAAGGAGAAATCAAATAATTATTAATGTCCCACTTACAATGTATGTAATCGCTCAGTGTTTATATACTGTATAATAGAACTCCCTGAAACTACTGACAGGTATTTGTAGATAAAGTTGGGAAGATTTGTGTGCCTAATTCCATCACCAAAAGAAATTGTGTGAAACTTTCTAGAAGGTGTTTAAAGTGTGAGCCCCTTAACTTAAAGCATTGCTGTGAAAAAACCCACTGTCAGAAAAATGCTAAACAGCTGAATGGTGTTATAATTATGTTTTTTTTCTTTTCCTCTTGCTGAAGAGATGGACATCTCACTGCATTAACCTTCCATGAGTTGTAAAGAACATTTTTCACACTGAACTATTTCAGTATTATTAAATTAATTGGCTAACACT